GGTATTTCGAACGATGAAACGTCAACTTCTTTCCACGGTTTCGTTCTCAATATTCGTGAAAAAGTGAGTATTGCTCACAGCTGGCGCGCATAATAGTTTGAGTGTCCTAAAAGAAAGCTTAAGTGCAGTTGCGGCAATCGTGTTACGATATTTTAATGAAACGTTTAATAAAAACCATGTCATTCAGTTTTTATAATAAATCCAAAAACAACTGGCGCCCATAATAGTAAAACACTGAAAGTATTATGCGCGCCAGTTATAAGCAATACTCACTTTTTCACAAATATTGAGAACGAAACCATGGAAAGAAGTTGACGTTTCATCGTTCGAAATACCACTCGCCGAGATTCACGCGTACAGTTTTACCAAGTGAGTACACTAGATTTCCTTTTGTCGTTGCGATCACTTTTGTCAGAGAAAACGTTATTACATGTAGGCGCTTTTCAGAACACGAAAAGGCAAGAAATTCATGTTGAGTAATGATATCGAAACGCGGTTATGATGTATGTAATACCGATTAAAGTCTCCTTCCCATTAAAATACGATCTCCAGGCTATTACATGGTAGTGAGCTGAGCCTTTTTATAGTATCAACCCCTAACGAAAGGAAGAAACAAGTGGAGAAAAAGCGTTTATTCTCTGAAGCGTTGCACCAAATCCAAAGAAACTATAGATCACTTTTTGCATCATTAAAAGCTCCATTATCTTTTCGGGAGGAGTTTACGTTTACTTCTTTAGTGACAAATATACTTCAGTTAAAAGCCTATGTAATAGTGTAAAAGGGACCCTGTCGGATTTGATGACCATTACTAAATTGAGAAATCATATGTGCCATCTTGAAGAGCAGGTTGAGGCGTGTCGAATGGTAAACCATGTTTTTAATATGTTTTCGACGAACTAGAGTGAATTTGCTGGTGGAGTGCTATCAGCATAAACCATCATCAATGACTGATCAGTGTTACTCCAGTGCCAGTCTAAGAAGTCTGTGAAAAGCATTTCTTATGCGCAGTTTTATAGAGCTTTTCGCGAACTACAAGCTCATATATCCAACATCTCCGACCGTCCCATGTTAACAGAGAAAAACGCGCTTTTCATCGACTTGGCATTCATCAGTTTCGAGAGAAGAGAGTCATTACTAGAATGTGACATAAAGGGATGGACACAATAGAGGACTCCCTACGATAGAAGACCGCCTGTTACAAGACCCCTCTTGAACTCATAACGCAAAAACCACGTTAGAAGACCCCCTTCTTTTATCGATTTTTTGACCTAAAATATGTTGATTTTGAGGTTCAATCAAACAGTAATCTTTGCGTTCGTCTTTTCCCTCAGCTGTTCACAGGTCGAATTCACCCGATCGGATCCTGCCGGATCCTTTTAATTCCGGTGATTTCCGGAGATCGGACGCCCGATCTGATCCGGAGATCGGAATCTGCTCAATTCCTTCGCGTTTCGATATTTTTTTTCTGGAGGATCCGGAGATATCCGGAACCAGGCGGCGCCGTTAATTTTCAGTGACCAGAAATCGACCGATCCTATGATGTGCACTTTATTTTTTTCCTTTCCAGTGCGGATAATATGTTCACTGTTTTGTTTCACCACAGGAGCACTTTAAATACGGCACTGCAAAAAATGAAAAATGGGAAGTTGTTCTTCTCAAATTCTTAACTATGTGTGTCATCGCTCACACTGTTCAACGGACGTGTTATACACGTCCTAGCTAGCGGGCCCCTCCACTCTCTCGAATGAACAGAGAGAAGAACCACTAGGAAATGAAAGAAAAAATTGAAGACTATTTTTAACCTTAAAATTGTCACATTCTGCCCAATCCAGCGAATTCCGATTCATCGGCCGGAAGATGTCGGATCCGGTCGGATCTTTTCCAACATCTTCCGGTACGGATTCCGAGCAACAGATTTCCGTCATGATCCGGTATGGCTGCTGCCGGATTTTACCGAATTCTACCAACTGCGGGCAAGTTCCGATGTTGGATTCGGCAGGATCCTGACGCCGGAATGGACGATCTGGGTTAGAGTGAATACACAGCTGCTAGACAAAAAGAGGTGTGTGCGTACACAGCTTTGTACACAGTGCGAACTCTCGATCAAGCGATTTCAGCTTAAAATCGACTTTTTTGGGGACACTTTACAAGACCCCCTTCAAAGTTATGAGCGCTAGGACGCGACATAAGACCCGGATCCTCTATTCTGTCCATCCCTTTACGACGAGTACACGAAGAGTGATTACACACTGGAATCTTCGAATATAACCAATATAACGATCGGAGATGTTGAATATATGAGCTTGTAGTTCGCGAAAAGCTCTATAAAACTGCGCATAAGAAATGCTTTTCACTGACTTCTTAGACTGGCACTGGAGTAACACTGATCAGTTATTGATGTTGATTTGTCCTGATAGCACTCCACCAGCAAATTCACTCTAGTTCGTCGAAAACATAATAAACATCGCTCGATTATAGGCGCAATGAAATATATCAGCATTTTTCGCTTAAATTTCCTTCGAACGAGCTACAATAAGAAGAAAGCTAAAAGACATGAAAATGGATAGTTTAATGCGTTTGTATAGTTTCTAACTTTAACGCCTTAAAAATTCAATGCTTTTCAACGTATTAAAATTTTTTAATACATTCAAACGCATTAAACTTGTTTAATTCATCGAAGTACACAACAGTAAATTTTAACGAATTTGAATGTGTTGATATATCACCATAGCAAGGGAAAGCGCCATTGTTATGTAAAATTCCTAAGTCCTTAATAGAATGTCTGATTGAGGAGAAAAGGTCATCCTAGACCAAACGTTTTGCGAGGAATCGAATAGTGATGTTGGAAAGAGTTTACAATGCTTCCCTACAGAATATGGATATTATTTTTGTTTCTGAAAAGTGTTAAAACGTTTACATGCATTAATTCCTAATGCGTGTGATAGTGTTCGACCGCTCGTAAAGTCTGTGAACATATTGAACGGACGAAAAAGCTTTTTAATGCATTCGAGTGCATTAAACAGTTTCGTGCATTTGAATACATTAATTTCTAATGCGGGTAGACGCATTAGTTTAATCTGAATACATGTAAATGCATTAAATGGACGAGAAGTCTTTTATATGCATTCAAACGTGTAAAAAATGATAAGAAGTTTAAATGCCTCAGTTAATGCGATATTTGAAGGTGTTGAATTTGTAAAAATGCGTTAGGAAAATTAAAATATTTAAGATTCCCAAACACATTAACTTTTAAGATATGGGAAGGCGTTAACAACTTCTTTCTTTTTTGTTGTCTGCTTAATGAATTCTTTGGGAAACGCATATTAAAAAAATGTATTTTATTTAGAAACTATTCGACCACTTTGATGAGATATTTAATTAATGGTGTAACGTTGTTGTAAATTAATTGTTCTTTCAAAAAGATCTAAAAACCGAAACCGGTATGTTTGTTTCGTAGATATGTTTAGATCGAATAAATAGCATCTATTATCAACGCTCAAATGGTCTGATTTTCTAAGTAAGTTTTTAAAATCTTTAAATAAAATTCGATCCAGTATCTAATAGTAATTTTGACCAAAAAATGTTTTTCGTTATACGTCAGTTGTTGGTAATTGTTGATGACTATTGTTCATTTTCTCAATAATTTTAAAAAGGCCAAGAGAAATACCAACAATTGCTATTACTAACAATGCAATACAAAAAGCATTAACACATATGACTTTACTACGCCCGACTGTGCTTCTGTCGGCATTTCAAGATTATAATAATATTTATAAAATACACCGATCTGAACAACGTTTTCATAATACAAAACAATTAAGCAAAACGTAGATCGAATACACCACAATAAATGAATAGGACAGGTAAAGATGAAGCATGAACATTAACAAGAAATTAATTTTACTTAATTACTATCAGAAGTTAAAAAATATTATTTTGTCGATTGCTGATTTATTCCAAAAATAAAGTCGAACAAAATTTCTAATTAAATACATAAGTATGAAAGTAAACTGAGAAAGCTTTTGAAAGAAAAATAATGATGAGAATGCAGTTTCTCTTGGTCGTTTCCGAGATTTGGTGCAACTCTTCAGAGAATAAACGCTTTTTCATTAAAAGGAAGTTTATTAAAATTTTAACGAAATTTCCTGTGTGTTCGATGATTCTGGATTTTCATTAAAATTTTTAATGAAGTTCTTGTGTTATCAAAACGTTTTAATGAAACTCCTGTTAAAAGTTTTTTAACGAAAGTACCGAGACTTTCATTAAAAGCATTTTTAATGAAAGTTCCAGTATTTTCATTGAAAAAAAACGCTTTAATGAAAAGTTTTTTAATGGAAGTCACCCCAACCCGTGGAGAGCTGCTATTCTTATAATAACTGTTTTAGAACAGGAGAAGTTTATTGTAATCAAAATCATGACAGCGCGGTTCAAAGTATTTCCTCAAAAATTGTTTTTCCTGTGGAAAATATTGAGACGATTAATGGCCTGTTTTCATAACTTTTGAGAGTGGTATCTTTTTATGATTTGTCGCCATAACGGCGTCCAAAGAGACTCTACGCGCCGTCTCTCAAGAAAGCGTCTCAAAATGGGACTTTTTAAGAGAATAAAGAAAAATAAAAGTCTCGTTAAAATATATAATTACTGGAAATCTCAACTCGTCGCGCGATACGTCAAAGCTAGTAACCGCCTCCATCTGCTGGAAGAAAGCCATATGTTGTGTGAGTCAGTCCATTGACTAGAAGTTGAGTATCCCCGAATCTGCTAAGAAATATACTGCACATCACAGTTTTTCGAACCTTAATTAGCTACGGTGATCAATGCCAATAGTTCTTAAAAATATGAATTATTTGGCCTTTTTGCAGTCAGATTTGAAATTACAGTTTAGATTGATGATGCCTTACTGCATCTCGGGTCAAACGTCACTGGAAAGAAAAAAGTTGAAAGAACAAGAAGGAGATAGCGCAAAGTAAAGATGAGGCAGGAAATACGAGATACAAGTTGAGAAAGCATGAAGGAGAACAGTATAAGTGGTAAACATTAGTTTTTGTGTGATATCTGGGTAATGATTGTAATTTGAATTCCATTTTGGATTTTTAGCTTATGTATGTCTAATGCTGAGAGGTTTTGGATATGTTCGCATCAGATCGGTTTGGTCTACAGCTCAATTTTTTTAAATTTGTTTAACTACTAATGAGGATATGTCATCATATCGAAATGATCTCGTGCTTAATCAATAAACTAAATACGGCATGTACGAGACAAACGTTTATAAACTTCTATTGAATTTTGTTTTTCTCCAGTATATAATTATTTTGTTTAGTTTTGATCGAAAGATGTATTCAAAACGTTTCAACTTTTGTTAAAGTTGATTTCGTGCGCGCTCTGATGTCGTAATATTGTATCCTCCATCGTTTTAAATTATTCCGCTCATAAAATTCTTACGAGTATTACTGCTCTCGGAACGATAATCTGTAGTATTTTGATCAATTCACCAGCGAGGCTGATAATATTTGTTACTATATAAATGGGACTAAATCCTTGTATATGAGAATATGCACATGTAATCGGTCGGCATGCCACAAAATACGCGGCATACGAGCTCAAATTTCTCCAGCTCTCTACCATTAGATTATTTAACAACTGCCCGATGGTTGTCGTCGAAGAATATTTACTAGGAATATATGCATTGAATGGAGCTATGGTCAACGAAGAAGAGTTGAGATAATAGAAAAGTTGGTTGATACATTCTTGATCATAGAAGCAACGCATATTCGATTTTAGTACGGAGTCAATGATGAAACAGCTAATGTAAATATCAGGAATAATAAACTCAATGGTAGAATTACTATTAAAAATGGCTGAGGGAGCAATACATGTTAATCTGTCGAGGCAAGAACAGTTTCAGTATAACATTGTTTGGAAGATAGATTCTGGGAAACTGGTGTCGATATCAGTAAATTCAACAATATTCTTCGTAAGAGGAGACATGGGAACATTGCCCTCCGTTGTCCCGGAGATCAAACGTATTGGTATGAGAAAAGAGTTCGTGGTCGCTTGAATAAATCGTTGAATGAATGATTGAGCTTCTATTTTGAAGGAACTTTGTGAAGGTACTGTACCAGTAATAAATTGAGTTGAATTGAAGACACCTAAAGCATTTTAAACTGTTTCATTGGTTAGTGAACACAGTGTTGCTAGAGCCTGAAAGGTGAAACTGGCTGTGTATCGAAAATCTTGTGTATTATTTGTTGTCTGTTGAGTTAATTTAAGATGTTGTATCCAAGTATGGAAAATCAACTGACTCTGACAAAGTTGATAAAACACTGGAGATATTGTGATAAACTGAGCATACTGATTTGAGAGATCAGAGCATGGACATTGAAGTGTGTCAGGATATTTCATGTTGAGCGTAGTGAATTGATCTACTGTTGTTGAAGAAATAGATTCTCTTGTTGTGATTACTCGTAATGATGAGTAAAGAGCTAGTACGAGCAGAGATCCAGCAAATAGAATAATAAATATACGAGCAGCCCTGATTTGATCTTCGATATTATTGTGTTTCTCTTCATTTGATTTAAAAGGTTTTGGCATTTGCTCCTAATAGAAACCGATATCCGTGTCGTACGATCCTGCGTAACCGTTTCGCAGAATACGCTTCAACGTTTTTTGCCTTGTGAGGAAACGGATTTAGGTTTTGTACCAGAGAAAAAACGTTGAAACGTATTCTGCGAAACGGTTATGCAGGACCGTACGATACGGATATCGGTTTCTATTAGGAGCAAATGCCAAAACCGATATTCGTTTAGTAAGCTACGGATTTTTTTTAGAGAGTATAAAGGTAGATAAAATATAGTAAATGTTATACTAAATATTCTCTTATCTTACGGTTAAATAATTGTACAATATTCATTCTATTTCCTTTACAACTTCTGATTGCTCTCACAATGAATGGTACGATAATTCCTAATGCCCTGGATAATCTGCCGAATAATGCTACTATCGTTGTAATAATAAACAATATCTCAAACCGTTCAATAAACGAGTAAGTGCAAGCTGAATGAGAACAATTTCACAGTACCGCTGATAAGACACATTAGTTATCCATTGTTCAATCATCATGTGTTCGACCATACTTCTCCCTGTTGAATTCATCTCGAACCGATAAAGTTTGTTGAAATCAAGCGCATTAATGGCCTTCAAAGGAACTTCGTATACTAAAAAGAGTGACTGGACGAAGTGTGTTAAAGTATATTTAAATTAATTTATCTTACGATTCGGAGAAGTGTTATGGTAGTTCCATAAGTCATATATCCATGATGCGTTGTAAAATGCTTGCAGATTTGATTCCATCAAGGCATCAATTATCGTACAACCAACATAAATATTTGGAATAGGGATTACTGTTGTATACGGTACATTCACAAGGCTGAGATTAAAAAAATACTACTGAAGAACACCAAGTTCTTGTCGACAGTCTGACCTCAGACTACAACTACAGTTGTCGTTATATACAGTTGGAAAATACACTACTGAATTATCTTTGTTGTCAAAGAATGCGTTGAAGTTTGTCTTTAATCCTGAACATATCGCATTACTACGCATAGTTTACAATACCATGTTTAGTGATAATGTAAATGAGTTTACGGTATTAGACTTGAACATAGACATAATTGAATCTATATGTGTTTGAAATAATTCTGGCGGCTGTACTTCATTATTGATATATTGAGTAGATTCAAAAGTACTGAGGGTATTTTGAACAGTGCTATTGGATAGTGTACACATTGCTGCTGATGCTTGGAATATAGGTGAACCGTATCGTGATAGATCAGGTAAATTGAGAATATAAACATACGGTTGAAGTATATCAAACCAATCTTGTGTTACAAAATCACTACTGCACACATGATGATAAATCGGTTGTACGCCAATAAATTGACTGTAGGAAATCGAGACGTCTTTACAAGAGCAAGTGAATGTTTTTGGATATATGTCATATAGTTGTCGATAGGTAGTCAGAGGAGGAGACACGATGGTTCTAGTCTTAGTATTAGTTACTAATAATGAATAGGCGATGATGATCAAAAACGATATGGTAAATACAATACAAAATAAATGTGTTGATATACGCTCAGTTTTGAGCTCATCCTGATCAGTCGAGGGTGAGTCCGAAGGAAATAAATTTAGTGTTTCAATGCCAACCTTCAGATCCTTAAACACTTTTGTTAATCTTCCACGTGTGCATGACACAACTAAAACAAAGATTACTTATATTTAAACCAATGCCTCACTTTATTTTCAAGCAATCGTTCGAGTAACTTCATCATAGAGTGGGTTACAGTCACTCGGAGTGACTTGGAGTGGACCCATAAAAACGATATTTGATTCTTTTATCAACGACATTTTTTAAAGAAAATGGCTTGGTATAGGATGTCGTGAATGAAGAATTTGAAGGTCTATCGATTAATAATATCTTCGTGTTAAACAGCGGTTGGAGTGGGTTGGAGCGTATTTTACTAATACCCTTAAAAGTGGCAAGGGCACCAATGGAACGCAACGAAATTTATTCAGTCCTGCTGTAGAAAATCAAATATATTCTAAGATTGGGAGTCACATTCTCACCCTATCAACCCCTGTTCCCTGGTCGGAACACGTTTGTAAATGACAATAAATATTATTGATGGCTAGGAGTAGTGCATAAAAAAGGATATCTCTTCTAACCTTCGCTGTTTAGCCATCCTGCATTAATTAGTTACCCAGTGGATAGAAAGACAACTTGTTTCCTAGCCTTTGTTACGTAGTGAACTCTTTTATTTAAAGAACTGTACGATATAACTACATACCATATACTAAGGAAAACAGTCAATATTTATAGGTTATACAGAGAGCAGAAGAGAAGAGAAAATCGTACCATACAAAGAATTTCACAATATCAGACCATATAAGAATGTTAAGCAATGAGTAGAGTACATATCGAACGATACATGCGTAGCTGGTAAAGAAAATGAAAACTAAAACTGTTCTTGGAAGCGCCCTTTACATCTTTCGCCAAAAAACACAGAAGATAAGTTCCCACCTTTGCAGCGCCTGAACAGCCTTCGCACAATGAAAAACTAATTTCTACTTGACTCTATATATTCCTATCTATTTTTGTTAGTTTGGTTGGCAGTGTAACGACGATATACTTAGACTTGAACTTAAAATTTACTGATACATTTTGATAGTATCGCAAGCAAGTTGTCATGGTTCCTTCCTTCCATAAAAACAGTTTTTCTTCTCTTCGCTATCGTGCCAGGTATGAATATCCACTTTGTTCGTTGCAAAGCGATGAGTCTTGTGCGTCGACATTTTTCATGTTCTCGAGTATAAATTAATAAGATGCACAGATGAAGCACATCAGTGTGGAAATATCATGTGTGCACAGATATTTATACTGACATTGACTGAAATATCTTCTTTCATTTGAAGGCAAAACAGTACAACTCTTTCTGCTCATGGGTAACTTGAAATCTACCGGAGCGTTCAGTGATGAATCGAAATATAAATACGAAGCACCCGGACCAAATGACTCGCGTTCATCATGTCCTGCATTGAACACTCTTGCCAATCATGGTTACTTGCCACGAGATGGCAATAACATTACGCCCGAAGTTCTGCAGCGTGCAGCGCAGGTATATTCCCTTTTGATATTTGTCATATAAAAACCATACTGTCTATTCAGGAGAAAATCGGTTTGAGTTGGTTGACTGCGAAAATTATTATTCGTCAAGCCTACAAGACTGTGGGCAAGAATGGTGTGCTCTCACTTTCCGATCTGTCTTACCATGCACCCGAAAGTATGGAACATGATGGGTCGCTTAGTAGAGTTGATGCAGCTCTATCGAACAATCAACAAGGCAAATTTAATCAAGAGCGTTTCAACAAACTTGTATCGTTTTCCAAAGATGGAGAATTCTTAACTACGGAAGATGTGGCTGCTGCACGCTTATATTTCAAAGCAGACAGCCAAGCAAACAATCCGCAATACTTGTGGAACAATGATGCTGAGGCGGCAATATGGACAGAAGCCTCTATTCTCCTACACATCTTAGTCAAACGCGGACGAATCAGTATCGAGGATGCAAAATTATTTTTCGAAGAAGAAACATTTCCTCATGGTTGGCAAAAGTACCCTTCGTTTGGTGTGCTTGAATTGCGATCAGCTACGAAAGCGTTGAAAAATGCAGCACGTGAATTAGAAGAACGCCAATAAAAAAGAATCAAACCAAATGTTGAGCTGATAATGACAGCTGAGACGTAACGATAAGAAATGTAGACTCAAATATACAGAAAATGAATACAAATGTGTCAGAGTTTACCATCTAAAATTTGTAGGCCAGTATTTGTGTGAAAGAAAAAAACTCGTTAAATTAATAAGAGGCACAGATGAAGCACATCAGTGTGGAAATATCATGCGTGCACAGATATTTACACTGACATTGACTGAAATGTCTTCTTTCATTTGAAGGCAAAACATTACAGCTCAATACAAAAACAAAAAAATGAGGTTATGGCGATGTAAATGAAGTAAAAAACTGATAAACTTTTGTCAGTTATAAACGCATAAAAAAAATAGCATTCTGCATTCGTTCTCAAGAACATTTTGCTTTGATTATAAAAATACGTAAAAACCTCCGTAGGGGAGTATGAAGATTTTATCATGTCAAATATGAAGAATGTATCACAATGATAGAAGTATTTTACATTTGAGCTGAGCTTGGGTAAGAAAAAATATTCAGTTGACATCTCTTTTCGAAGTGTCACAACCTAAGCTGTCAAGATTTGTGTGCTTTTCCTATTTTAATGTTTATGACAACATCAGCAAAAAACTCGGGTTCTGTCGTAGAAAAATTCTAACTACAATAATACCATCAGTGTGAGAAAAAATAGACACATCAATACTAGTACTAGCCAAATAAAAAATGAGAATATTCTTATTCGATACTACTGTCTTGTCAAAACCGTAGATCCCACTGGCAGCACATGGATAATGTGAATAACACTGAGATTAGCCAAAGCGCCAGTAGTTTGACGTTGCGATATGCTGTAGTAGACCGGTACGGTGATTACTATATCGCTCACTTTCTGACCGAGATAATCGTTCTTTACTCAAATATACCGTATGCAAACAAAGACGAAAGGAAGGTATGGACGTCAGTAAATCATTGCGTGGTCTCTGTGGACGATTCATGCGATGTAACGAAAACATTTTCTCTGTCATTCCCGAGCGAAAAAAGTAAAAACGGGTGAAATGCATTCCTTTTCCGCCGTCATCGTCTTGCTACCCCAACCAACTAGTAATTTAATTATTTCTCTTGACTGAATCATTCGATCACTGCTAAATAGAAGATGAAAAACTGAATTACAAAACATCCAAATGACGTCTTCACTGCTATTTGTTAAAAAATGGCAGACCAAACTTATAAATGGTCACATACTTAATGGGAGATCGATCCAAAAAATTTTAATTTTTTTGTGTACTTAAAAGTCAGGTAACATCTCAGTTTATCTATATTTCGAAACAGCATGAAATTCTCTACAAGAAGAGCGATTCATTTTTACGATTTGTTTTGGGCCCAACCTTTATTATGGATCAAAAGTTAACTGACCAGGAAAAAATGCGACATACGTCCAGTTTTTACTATTTCTTACACTACTACAGAAACTAATAGATTTTGTGTCACAGTTTCTTGCTTTCCTAGCCTCCTACCTTCCTAGTTATCTACTCTACTGCTTTCCTACATTTCTGATTCCTTCCGTTCCTAACATTCTGCTTTCCTAACATCGTACTCTCCTGCTTTTCTTCTTAACTGATTTCCTACTTTCTTTCTCTCCTAGTTTCCTAACTTCCTATTTTCCGGCTTTCCTAACACGGTACTTTTCCGCTTTCCTAAATTCATGTTTAAAATTAAAAATTATTGTTCTGATAGAATTTGTTTTAGACGTAATCCTGTTTCTTGTAGATACGTTGGTAATATTTGATTATAAAATTGTTGTTGTGTCGGTAATTGATACGGTAAATTTAACAAGTAGTGTTCATCATTCTGATTCACTTATCCCTTGACTGGAAAGGAATCGTCAATATCCAATTCTTTCTAGAAAATTATAGAATAAATAAGCATCTCTGTTGGTCACATTAAATTCCGAAGAACATTCTCAACAAGCAAGAGCAGCACAGTGGGCATTTTTTTGCTAGAGCAGGCGGACTTTAGCTTTATGAGTGAACTAAAATTTCATGAACCATTTTTTTATAGGTTTTTCATGATCCTCTTTCTAATGGCACGAGAGTTGGGTTTTGAAAAAGTTTTCTTAGGAGTTTTCCAGAGATCCGATCTTTCGAAAACCCTTCAGAAAACTTTCTCAATAATTAAAAATGATGCCACTGGAAAGAGCATTGTCGAAAACCTATAAGAAACATGTTTCGAGCCGTTCAGGTTACTTTATCTTGAAATTCAAATTTTCAGTACGAAATTGTTTGTGTGAATCTCAAAAACTAAGAAATTTCTAGAATTCAAAATCAAGCGACCGAAACTAGATGAGTTATATACCGGTCGATGCAGTTTTTCATGCTGATTCTAAATATGGTATTATATTTTAAGAAAAGTGCATTTATACTGTAGAAAACTGCAAAATACCTCCAAAATCCCAGGGATTTTTGTAAAACCTATTACTCGACTTAAACAAAAAAGTGTAAAAAGATGACATCACCAATGATGCAGCTTGATCTGGAGAACATTTTGGTGTACAAATAAGTCGTTTTGCATGGTGGCTAACGGTGGCGGGTCGACTATATTGAGGACGGGTCATCTGTAATTGACA